TTGCTGCCTTCAGGGCTTCTATAAGGAATCACATTATCAGCTGTGGGTTTTGTGTGCTGTGGAGAGTGGGCAAAAAGTACATTTGACCTCTGACCTTCCCACAGACTCAAGAGGAGAAGCTTTTTTTTTTTTACAGAGAATGGGGAGACAGTTTTTTCTGGTCCCACACAGTCCTCTAAAAGTCGCATACCAAGAACTGCTTTTCCCATCACGAACCAAACACAACACTCTGTTCTTCCCTGGTTTATGGCCAAGGAAGTGGGCGATCTCATGAGTGGGGTCCTACCCGGTACTCATGGCAGACCTGACCTCCAGCAAGAACCACACTTAGGCCATTCTCTACAGGTCAGGGGAAATATGAAGAGGGCCAAAAGCTGGGGGCAAAGGTCTAGTGGCTCAGATGAGCTAGAGCCATTTTGTTCTTATTTCATCAAAACATTTTCCTTTTCAAATGTTTTTATGACCTAAATCTCCGATGTGAGATGCTTCGACTCCAATATGCAAAAAGACAGATTTTTTTAAACAATTGAAAAATACAGTTATGTAGATTATTCAACAGTGTGTGCAAAAGGTCAGATTAAATGTCTTTGATCAGATAAGTTCACTGTATGCCAGTTTGTTTAAATATTACCTGACACACTTTTCCCAAGATAATTTTAGCCAAATTTGGATGCATACATTAATTATTTGATGGTGAGCAGGAAGGTCTGGATGTCTTTTTGCATGAGAAAGGAAACATTTTCATGATGAAACCATCTTGCAGTCACCTGCTGTACAGCCCTCAGGGGTTTTCTTTGCTTCACAGCTCTTCCCTTCAGCAACTGAGACGAAGCAATGTACAGACAAGCAGAGGTAATTCATGTCACACCTCGGAGCTGGAGCCTCAGGGGAGACAGATACAATATAGATGAGTACATTAGATAGAAAATGAGGGGCAGGAAACATATCACTGGAACATGTCCACATAAATAACACAAAAACTTGTAAACAGGTGTAAGGATGCGAAGACACACTGAAACAAAGCAAGTGAAAAAATGAAGTGAGGTGGCAGAAAATAGAGTCTAGCTTGTAAAGTTGGTAAATGGGACTGAGAGGGAGAAATGGGGTGGGGGGGGTAGGAGGGACAGCAGCCAAATGACAGAGGCGTGTTTGTGTTCTGATTAGAATGAGCCAAATGAAGGCGGCTCACCAATGGAGATAACCAACAAAGACATCTCTTCACATGAGACAAATCTGCGAATATCTTTTCATGGTCGATAGCAGAGGTTATTCTTTTGTTTGATGGAAAAACAGGAATGAAAATGAGGCGATTTGATGTTGTTTCCCAGCTTGGAAGCATGTACGGGTTCACATGAACATCATATTTTATTATTCCATATGTTTAGGTGGGTCCAAAAGCTAGGCTGTCATTATGTTCTTAGGGACTTATATTTTGAATATCCATTCGTTCTCACCCTGGTTGCCAAGTTGTGATGCACTCAAGCTGAATAAACAATGATGTGGGCTCTTTGGACCAAGACAGGCTTCCTGGCATGGGTGTGCCTGCACCCTGTTTGGTTTTTCATCGTTAAGGCTGGCGACAGTGAATAGATCAAATCTGTGGCGGTGTTGATCAGGTCCTGAGTGAGGTTTTCTCTCTGGCAGTGAACTGGGGCTGGGATACAGCCAGGGTTGCCAGGCAAGGCAACACTCCTATTGGTGTCTGCCTTTGAGTCCTCTCGCCCTCTGATTCATACACACATGCACATTGACACCCACTAAACTCACTCTCACGCTGCTGGAGGCAAAAGAGGAAAACACCACCATCCTTGGGAAACAAATTAAAAAGGATGCTCATCCCCTGGTTGGAAATACTCAATCACCGGTGTTGGTCAAACCAAACAGCAAAGCATGTAGTAAGTTGTCCATAAATTAACAAAACAAGAGATTCCCAGACATTTAATTACAACACTGAGAGAGAGAAACAAGTGAGCCATGCTGAAAAACCAAAGGACAAATGATATGTTTGGGAGTAAAATGTGAGGGCACAGGATGCTGAGAAATAGTGCACGTTTGTGTGGATGCACCACTGAATGTTTGCTTTCATTTTTATGATTTCCAAGTTTTGCTTTTTGGACTCAGTCATGCATCTTGTCTCGACTCGAACAGAAACAGGACTTGCAGGTTTTTGAGTAATATTACCTCAGCAGCTCTGCTGTAAGACACATCTTAAGGAATCATACACCAATCTGACCTCATTGTCAGGACAATAAAAGATGATCATGTTACCCCAACTCAGATTACATCACTTTAAGCCCTGGACAATCAACCTCCAATGCTGCTTAGGATTTCAAATGTGAAACCTGTAATCACAGAGTTTCACAAGTTGAACTGGTTATTTTGAGAGAGTGAAAAGAGCAGAACAAAACAATACGGCAGTGGGAAAACTAAATCCCAGTCTGGAAGTTCCAGTTGGGTTGTTTATGTTGTGGAGAGGCAGGAGGGAAAGAGAACTGCACAAATGCTGTAATGACTGTGACAATACCAGCTCTGTGACTGACACAACGGCCTTTGGCTGGACAGCAAAAGTTAAGATTCATCTGATTTAGTGGAATCCCAGTTGATGCTAAATGGTTTTACAAGCTAACAGCTGGACTCCGAGGGGGAAATGATGACCAGGCTCAACATGCACGAGTAAAAACAAGTGACCCGTGCTGAGTCTGTGAGGTATGGAGAAGGACAGAACAGGAGGGAGGAGAAGCCCCGAAGGAGAGTAAGGAGAAAAATAAATTGAATGGATGGTCATGAGGGGAGAAAACAGTCAAAGGTGTGTGTTTGTTTCTTCTCGTGGAGTCTGAAAGACCCTGCTGTCACAGGGCAACCTGGGCTTCTCCCGTTTGACTTTATAAAGATTAATGGCTCCCCTCAGGTCTGAGTTCAGCTTGTTGGTAGTGAAACGTCCCATGTGGCTACATCTGTAGATAGTGCCTGACCCCATCTTGTTTTTCTGCTTCATTTGTTTTGTTTGTCTTTGGACTCAGTTCTGTTTCTAATTAAAAGCACGGCTGCTTTTATTCTGAGATCACGTTCAAAAGATTAAAATGAAATAACAAACAGAAAAACGAGGTGTTCTTCAGACTCGTGTTGACCTGGGATCAGTCTGAAGTACTTGTGTCTAGACACCAGATCCACTGGTTGATGGCTCTATCTCTTTTGATTATTTCACACTCTTCTCATCCCATCTCTTGTTTCACTGCTCCCTTCTCTTTATTTTCAACCAGTTTGTTTAACAACCATTAAAATGCACAAGACTCATTGTTAGATACTTTTTCGAGGTTGCATGCAGACAAATCTGGTGCCAAATTATTGACTTAGAATTTGCGACAAGACCTAACTACATTACATTACCCTCATTATTTTGTAATTAAGTTCTTGATGGTGAAACAAAGGTACAGACAATGGTTTGATAAGTCCTCTCGTTTAATGAGACTCTGCTGTAACTCCTGTATTCATTCAGTAAATAGGCCTTTCATTTAGTGCAACACGTCCCACCCCTTGCTGCCCAGAGCTTCCTACCCACCCCCTGCCAGTGGCCTGCAGTGTCCCACATTGGGTGCTGGCATCCTTCTGAACACTCGGAACCCACAGGCTCCTCCTCCATCCTCCTTGGTTCTTTTATCCCCCCTCTCCACCAACATACACACACACACACACACACACGCACGCACACGCACACGCACAAACACACACACTCGTTTGATTGTGATTGACAGTGTCTTTGTTCTATTGTGTGGAACTGTCGCCTCTGATGAAGACACATACACGGAACTGAGGGACTTAAATCGTTGTACACAACTCAAAAACTAAAGGTTTACAACCAGTTGCACTACGGGCTCCCAGCGTTTTGACTGGTGACTGGTTTAGGCAAAGAAGGGCACATTTCCTTGGCATGGGCTAGAGTCAGGATTCTGGGACAAACTGGGCACCACAGGCCAGACTAAAGGCCTAGAGTGGACCAAGACCAGGGGGTCCAGCTCTGAAGGGGCCAGCTGGAGAGGGAGGCTCAAGGCTGCGCAATGTGTCTGAGGTTGTCATTAGTTTTCACCCCTCCTCGGGGATGGGAACCAGGTCACATTCTCTCACACGACACAAAGCAGGGTGTGTGTGTGTGTGTGTGTGAGAGGGTTGGGGGTTCAAGGGAGGGGTATGGATGGGGGTAGGGGGGTAGGCCATGACCTCTTTATATCCATCAACAGCTCACTAACTTGGCCTATAGACATGCTCATATAACACAATCACCCACAAACATATTCACATGCATGCAAACGCATGCTAATGCATGCGCATGTGCACAGGCAGGCACACTCACAAAATGCATATGCAAAAACTAGTATGTGCTCTGCTGGTGGCCTTATTTGTGTTTTGTATGCAAATATGCTAGCAAATGCTTTGTCTATGAGGAGTTATTGGTGCTAACGTCTGCTGCTAACTAGTATCTATCTTCATTAATTTATCATTCAAAGCATTCAGCATGAATCACTGAGGATCACGTTTGATGAGAGATGAGTTGAGGAAAGCGGCAAATGAATCTAATCTGCCTGTGAATGCATGATTGCAACACAAGCGAAATACTGCACCTGTTCATTCTGGTCAAGGATACAGCTCATAAACACGGAGGAGTAGAAACAAGTCAAAGGAAGCAACAGGTGGGTGAAACCAAATGCAGTTTTAGTTTTACCAGGCGTGCTGCGGTGGTCCTGAATACCAGGACCTTCAAACAAATTCATGATATGGAAACTGAGGTTTGTTTTTATGACCACCTGCCATTTCTGTGCCAGTAGGAGCCAAAATGTCTGCAATCAAATTTTTTGCCAACATGCAGGAAAACGAGGAAAAACAGTGAACCACTGCCCCCTCCTGGTAACCAAGGTGTTCCACAGACTGCTGTTTTATCAGGCATAGTAGAAAAAGCCTTTATGATGATATTTTGTATGAATCAGAAAAAATGTCCTACAAACCACTTGGGTAAGTCAGAATTGTTTATTTCGAAAACAAACTTAATTATTAAAATGATCTGATCTATAGTTTAACATTTTAAAACCCCAAAGAAAACTATTTATGACGATTCAACAGCAGTTATGACCATGAGAACCCTACATTGAGACAAACATAAAATTAAGAATGGCATACATTAAAAGCAGATTAATAAATTCTGACTCTGTAATAAACATTATAACTCTGGTGAGCCCGACAGTAAAGTTATTTACGCTACAAGTTATTTTATTTCTATATTTTTTCTTATATTTTCAATAATTTCAAAGTTTCAAATATCAGCTGAGTTTACTTTTTTGTGCTTTAATGTTCATCCTAGAGACTTCGACCTCATGTCCTGTCCGTGCGCTGACAGAACACGTGAGTTTAACACGAGCTCTTCTCATAGAAAAATAAATTGTGGCATTTTTAAAATAAAATATCTGCAGTTGTTGCTGTTTATCTTCCCTGCCTTGGTGTGTTTGCTTTTCTCTCAGTACATTAGGACACCCTGCCTGCATCATGTATGTGAAAAAATATGTGCAATTGTGCAAGTTGTCTCTCAAAGCTTATCATGGTAGTGTCTTTGAACTGGAAGGAGCCAAGCTGCAGGTTCAATGCTAACTGGTCAGCCCACACCGTCAGAGAGAGACACAGAGGGGGCTGGCAGGGTCAGGCAAACGACAGGACAGTCAGTTAGGAGAGATGGTGCGTCTGCGCAGACAGCTACATGTCAGGCACTTGAGGATGCTCATGGTAATGTGCATGAGAGGGCCAAAATTGAAGAGCAGGTTGTAAAAGGTGTTCACAGAGAGGCCGCCAGTCTCATCTGCGTATTTTAAGGCCACAATTGGCGTGTAGAGGCTGTTGGTCAGGTTCCTAAAGCGAGGACTGTCTGACTCAATAACCATCTTTGTGCACTGCAGGAAACAAGCAAAAAGAAAAGTTTTGAGTGATTCATTGAACTTGTTTACACTTTTATCGGACTGTGAGCAGAGAACATCTCTGACTCATAAATCCTGAGATAAGTTAGGTCAAGTCTGGGGCCTCATTTATCAAGCTTGCTTACGCACAAAACGGGGTCGGAAAACTGCGTAAGAAACTTTCCACGCAAACTTTGGGATTTATGAAAGAAAACTTAGCAGAAAAATGTGCGCAACTTTAAGTTGACTAAGGACCTGGCTTACGCACATGTTGGACATGGAGAGCAGCTGCAGTGCTGCTGCTGGGAAGATAAAATTATGAAATCCTGCAGCATTATCACTTCGTTTTCACACAGAACAAGACCCCCCCCCCCCCCCCCCCCCACACACACACACAGCCTGAAGCGCAGAATACAGAATGCAGAATACATCAGCAGGGGGACAGATTGAGACAGAATGTCATGCGTCTGTGACAGTGTGTGTCCTGTCACTGTGACCCGATTGATCATGCGCCCTGGCTACTTGGACAAAGAGAGATTCCATTTGGCTGACTGGTTAGCGCGCGTGACTATCACCTGGGAGTCTGGGGGTTGAATCCTGATCGGACCAATTTTTTATATCCCCACAGATCTCTCTGAAGAACTCAGCACTGACGGCGCTGTGCCACTCCGTGGATTTTCTCTTATTTGTTTTGCAAAAGCACTTCCTTTCATTTCTCCACCTCACCCACAGGTACCTGAATTTCTGCTTCTGTGAAATAGCGCTTCCTTGATCTGCGGTCGGGATCGAAATGCTGCAAAAGCCGGCTTATGTATATGCATGAGATCCACAAGGCACTTTGCATCAACCATTTATGGCAGTAAGTGGGCGTGGTGAGGGCGGGATGTGACTAAAAAGCTGCTGAGAACCTTTCTCGTTAGTCTCTGATGTATGAAGCGGAGACTGCGTGCAGCTGTGCGTACTCCATGTTTGATAGATCACGAACCTACTTGCCGTGAGTACATTTTTTTTCTGAGTTTAAGTACAATTTTAGTAAGTATTCTACGCAATGTTTGATAAATGAGACCCCTGGACACTTATTTCCTTACTTTAGCTATGTCCTCTGGCATCTGGCCCATGGCTTCAAATATATCAGTAGATGATGGCAGGTAAACGTCTTTAAAATATCGAACTGTGTCTGCATCAACCCCAGGAAAATCCATCTTAGCCACATCCTCCATCATCTTGGTCTCGAACTCGGTGTGCACTGGGCCAGGTTCAATCATGGACAGCCTGAGGAGAGACACACACGGAAAGCTCTGAGAGGAGGAGTGGACCGTGGAAAAGTAGAGACAGCTGTGATGGTGGAGGGGTTTGATCTACCTTATATTGAACTTCAGCAGCTGGACAGCCATGCTTTCACAGAACCCCTCCATAGCAAACTTAGAGGCGGTGTAAACATCATTGAACACCACTCCTGGTTTAAGAGTAAAGCACAAAGGAAACGATATGTCCTTAGGTTTTACAGAATTCAAACAACTAAACAATATCTCTGTTGAACTCGAAGCACGAGGAACTTTGAAGCAACAAAAGTAAACACTAGCAGCAGTAGCTCAGGTGGTAGAGCGGGTTGCCTCATGATCGGAGGGTCATGGGTTCGACTCCAGCTCCCGCCAGGGGTATCCTGCTGTTGTGTCCTTGGGCAAGACACTTCACCCAACTTGCCTGTGTTAGTGGTGGTCAGAGGGGCCGACGGCGTCAAATGGCAGCCTCGCCTCTGTCAGACCTCCCCAGGGTGGCTGTGGCCACAAGCAGCTTATCATCACTAGCAGTGTGTGAATGTGAGTGTGTGTGAAAGCGTCTTTGGGTGTCTAGAACAGCGCTATATAAGTTCAATGCATTATTATTATTATTATTATTTGATGTGTCTGAACTGCTGTAGTACTAATATTTTCCCCAGAACTCAAAGTGCTCCATTATTCACGAACTGCAACTGAGGGTAAGCTACTGCATAGCTACAGCTGCCCTGGGGTGGTCTGACAGAGGCGAGGCTGTCATTTTGTGCCATCGGCTCCTCTGACCACCACCAACACATGCAAGTCAGGTGAGGTGTCTTGCCCGTGGACACAAAGGCAGAATAACCCTGGTGAGAGAAGGAATTGATCCCATAATCCCAACCGTTCTGCCTCCTGAGCTACTGCTGCCCCACATAAGGATCAGACCCTAGAAATAACCCTCCATCACACTGTCACTTTCATTGTGTGTGTGTGTGTGTGTGTGCGTGTGTGTGCGTGCGTGTGTGGGAAGGTCTATAACGCACATATGTCATAATAAAACATTTTTATGCTTTCACTAGACTATATGAAATTAGTATTTTTACAATCTAAAATTTAAAGGGTAATTTTCTGTTTCTTTCATTTGAGCAGACTGAGATGTTCAAAGCTCATACCCTGGAGACCCATAACGCTGCTCATGACCACGATGTGTCCTGAACGCCTCTTCTTCATGTCGGGCATCACTTCTTTGATCATACGAACCACACCGAAGAAGTTGGTGTCAAATACTCTTTTCATTTCTTCAATGCTGATGCTTTCCACGGGGCCAAGCAAGCCCACACCTGCATTGTTGACTGACAGGAAGCACACAGACTTAGATCACACTCTGCAGATGAAGACAGTTTATTTATTCACTTTATTCAACTAAGTCTCAGTGATCATGAGTGTTGTTACTTATTAATGCCACCAGATGTCAGTTTGTAACAGTTCCAGGGTGGTGTGTAGCACACAAGTCCATGCTGAGGGGCCTCTGGGTTTTGAGCAATTATGTGAAGGGGGTGTAAAGCTGGATGGAAGCATGCTTATAAATAGATGTTTTATCCAGACTAGAGGTTTAAAAAACAACTGAGAAGAGACATTCATTCACAAGTTATTGAGCTCAAAACATGACATGTTGCACCACAAAATCTCTTCAAGGCGCTGAGATTTCTGAGCCTTTATCTCCTTTTTTTCTACCTGTGAAAAACCCAGTACAAACGGCATGGTTCTCATGAAGACAATAAGATCCATGACTCAGTGTAAGCTCTAACTCGCTTGTAATGGCCTTTTCTGTTCGGGTGCAGAATCTATCTGCCCACTGGAATTTCAAGACTCCCAATCCCCTCCTTCCACCCACTCAAGCTGCAAAACCACAGCAAGTACAACCACGGTCTGACAACACGGCTGTTTTGAGTCTAAGTAACCTTTGTTCTAAATTGAAGTAATTTTATTTGGCTTTGGTTTCTTACTTGCCACAAAATCTAACTCAAGATTTAAAGTGGAAAACAATTTATTTTAAAATACATGACAGACAGACAGACAGACAGACAGATGATAGATAGATAGATAGATAGATAGATAGATAGATAGATAGATAGATAGATAGATAGATAGATAGATAGATAGATAGATAGATAGATAGATAGATAGATAGATAGATAGATAGATAGATAGATAGATAGATGATAGATAGATAGATAGATAGATAGATAGATGATAGATAGATAGATAGATAGATAGATAGATAGATAGATGATAGATAGATAGATAGATAGATAGATAGATAGATAGATAGATAGATAGATAGATAGATGATAGATGGATGGATGGATGGATGGATGGATGGATGGATGGATGGATGGATGGATAGATAGATAGATAGATAGATAGATAGATAGATAGATAGATAGATAGATAGATAGATAGATAGATGGATGGATGGATGGATGGATGGATGGATGGATGGATGGATGGATGGATGGATGGATGGATGGATGGATGGATGGATGGATGGATGGATGGATGGATGGATGGATGGATGGATGGATGGATGGATGGATGGATGGATGGATGGATGGATGGATGGATAGATAGATAGATAGATAGATAGATAGATAGATAGATAGATAGATAGATAGATGGATGGATGGATGGATGGATGGATGGATGGATGGATGGATGGATGGATGGATGGATGGATGGATGGATGGATGGATAGATAGATAGATAGATAGATAGATAGATAGATAGATAGATAGATAGATAGATAGATAGATAGATAGATAGATGATAGATAGATGGATGGATGGATGGATGGATGGATGGATGGATGGATGGATGGATGGATGGATGGATGGATGGATAGATAGATAGATAGATAGATAGATAGATAGATAGATAGATAGATAGATAGATAGATAGATAGATAGATAGATAGATAGATGATGGATAGATAGATAGATAGATAGATAGATAGATAGATAGATAGATAGATAGATAGATAGATAGATAGATAGATAGATAGATAGATGATAGATAGATAGATGGATAGATAGATAGTTGCACAATATGAATTGCACATTCAACATTGCACACTTCACCCACACTGCTTGGCCCAAAAAGTCACCACCAAAAAAAAGTCCCACTCTAATATTTAATTGAACCACCTTTAGCTTTGATTCCATCACACATTCACTGTAGAAGAAGAAGAAATATCATGTCTATAGCGCCTCTCAAGAAAAAAAATCACGAGGCGCTTTTCAAAAATAAAAAATGTAAAAATATAAAAAATAATTTAGAAAATGGTTAAAATATATTTAAAATGAGCAAAAAAGAGACAATTGCGATTAAAAAATGTTAAGAAAGAGAGAGAGTGAACAGGAAAGAGGGAAATCAGTGGATCCTGAGGAAGGTGGAATAGGTGGGGAGAGCAGAATAAAGAGAGAGTGATGAAGAAGGTCATACAAAAGCCAGCTTGAACAAGTGAGTCTTCAGCTGCTTTTTAAAGGAGACCACTGAGTCCACTGATCTCAGGCTCAGGGAGAGAGAGTTCTAGAGTCTGGGGGCCACAGCAGCAAATGATCTGTCACCTTTGGTCTTTAGCCTGGTGCGCTGCTCAAGCAGTAGGCTTTGATCACTGGACCTCAGGGACCTGCTGGGGGTGTAGGGACTAAGAAGATCACCAATGTAAGATGGTGCTTGTCCATGTAAGGCCCTATAGACCAGAACCAGGATCTTGAAATGAACCCTGAAGTTGACTGGCAGCCAGTGAAGCTGGAGGAGAAGCAGGGTGATGTGGGTGTGTTTGGAGGACTTGGTCAGAAGCCGAGCACAGGCGTTCTGAACCACCTGCAGACGGTTCAGGGAGGTTCTGCTCAGACACGTGAAAAGAGAGTTGCAGTAGTCTAAGCGTGAGAAGATGAAGGTGTGGATAACTGTCTCAAGTTCAGAGTGGAAAAAAATGGGACTCAGCTTAGCAACGTTCCTGAGATGGAAGAAGGAAGAGCCAACAAGAGAAATGACATGAGAATCCAGGGTGAGAGCTGGGTGCAGATTCCTGACGGAGGGTTTGGTGTGAGTAGCAAGCTGACCAAGAGAATCTCTGACTTTGGGAACCAGCTTGTCTGGGGCACAGATGAGGATCTCAGTCTTATCTTGATTCAGCTGTAGAAAGTTCCCAGCCATCCAGGTTTTAATAGTCTAAAGCCGGGCGGACACTGTGCGACTTTTTCACTTTTTCGAGCCGATTTTCCACTCATGCGAGAATCCACAAGATCAGGGCGAGTTTTGCGCTGAGCGTCGTGTAGTGTACAGGGGGTTACGAAAGGCGATTAACACCAAGTGACCAGCTACCGATCAGCAATTGTGAGCTCACACGGACTTCTGGAGTGTTTGATATTTTGCTCGTTCCTCGTGAGGGTTGAAGCGGCGCAGCGAGCGACTGCGACCCAAAAAGTATCAGAACCGCTCACGGCGCATGCGCAATCATCCATCAACACCGCTCGCCCGCTATTTCCCTAATAACACATGTTGTTCGTTTTTATTTCTACACGTTTTTTTACTCACAATGATTGTCAAGAAAGCGTGTTCGTCGTGTTCATGTCAAATTAAACTGATCACAAAACACAGATTTACTTTATTTCGTTTTCCTCATCCAGCCCCCATAAATCCCTGTGTGTCCTCCTGCAGCATTCCTGAAGAACAACAGGCAAAACAACACAAAAAAAGTCTGACGTGTTGTGTAAAAACTGCTATTTTTAGTATATTTTTAAGTCTGACGTGTTGCTACCAGACGTACAGTTTGAGCAGTCAGGTCGCATCCGAGAACTGGGACGTACAGTGTGAGCACATGACTCATGAGACCTGCACTGCGAGGAAGTCGTACAGTTTGAGCTGAAGCTGAGTGCTACGAGTGAAAAAGTCGCACAGTGTCCGCCCAGCTTAAGCAGGTGTGTAACAGCTGCAGCTTAGACATCTCAAGGGGCTTAAAGGAGATGTACAGTTGGATGTCATCTGCATAAAGATGGTAGGAGATTCATTTGAAAGAGCTCAGGATGTGCTGATGAGGGAGCAGATAGAGGAGGAAGAGCAGAGGCCCCAGCACAGAACCTTGTGGGACACCATGGGTAAGGGAGGTGGTGGAGGACCTAAACTTGGTGACGGCCACAGAAAAGGAGCGCTCAGAGAGATAAGATAACCACTCCAGAGCAGTTCCTGATAGGCCTACCCAGTCTCTCAGCCTCTCCAGTAGCAGGTGATGGTCAACAGTGTCAAAGGCTGCAGTCAGGTCTAACAGGACCAGAACAGAACAGTCCCCTGCATCACTGTGAGTCAGAAGGTCATTAGAGACCCTAAGAAGAGCTGTTTCAGTAGAATGAGCTCCACGAAAACCTGACTGGAAGCTATCATAGATGTTATGTTCATCAAGAGCAGCTGTGAGTTGTTTAGCCACAACCTTTTCCAAGATCTTGGAGATGAACGGAAGTTTAGAGATGGGTCTGAAGCTGCTATGGAGAGAGGGGTCAAGACTTGGTTTTTTAAGAAGCGGGTGGATTACAGCAATCTTTAAGTAAGCAGGGACCTGACCAGAAACCAGAGAAGCATTAATAATGGAGGGCACGCTGGGATCGATGGACTGAAAAGCACTTTTAAACAAAGATGAGGGTAAGATGTGGAGGGGGCATGCAGAGGTCTTCATAGAGTTAACTAGTTTGGTTAACTCAGGCAAAGAAACAGGAGCAAAGCTATCCAGGATGATGGGCCTGGTTGGAGTCGGGAGAGGCAGCGATAAGGCTGAAGGAGAGATGCTAGATCTAACCTTATTGACTTTGTCCACAAAGAAAGACAGAAAGTTCTCACAGTCTGTAACAGAGTGGATGGAGGCTGTAGGAGTGGCAGGAGAGACAATGCTGCTGATGGTGTTAAACAGCACCTTGGGGTTCCCTTTGCTCTGGGACACCAGGTTGGAAAAATAGGAAACCCTTGTGTCTCTGACCGCAGAGTTAAAGGGTGTCAGAAGATCCTTTAGGTGCAGCAGACGGACGTGGAGATGGGTTTTCTTCCACAAGCGCTCAATTTTTCTGCATTGGTGCTTCAGGCTGCGAAGGCTGTCATTAAACCAGGGAGTAGGGTTCACTGCAGGAACTGATCTGGTTCTGACAGGACAGATGTTGTCCAGAATGGAGAGGCAGTACTCGTTAAACTGAGAAGTTAAGGAATCTGGGTTGTTATCAGAAAAACAGGGTGGATTAAAAGCCGCGGAAAAATTGCTAGCTGTGCTCTCATTAAGAAAACGAGAACTAACCATACGGCGAGCAGGAGGTAGGGAAGCAGAAACTGACAAGTTAAAGAAAATGCAATGGTGATCTGAAATATAAACGTCCTCAGGACAAACACTGTCAACATTTAGACCCAGGGTAAAAACAAGGTCTAGAGTGTGCCCCTGGTGTGTGTGGGGCCAGAAACATGCTGGGTAAAGCCGAAGGAGTCCATAAGGCTGGAGAAAATCATGGCAAAGTGATCAGAGGGATCATCAACGTGGATGTTAGTCACCCACAATCACCAGTCTGGACAGCTTCACAGTGGAGGATAGAAAGTCACTAAACTCCTGAAGGAAAGAACTGTTTGGACCAGGTGGACGATAGACCACAGCACAGTAGAACGGGTCCTTACGCCCGACTTTAATCAGCTGCAGTTCAAAGGAAGCAAAGTGACCAGAGGTTGTAGAGCTACATGGAAGATGGTCTCTGAAAACAACAGCTGGGCCTCCACCACGACCAGAACCCCGGGGCTGGCTAAGAAAAGAATAACCACTCGGGCAGAGTTCAATCAGACCAGAATATTCAGATGTTTGCTGCCAAACTTCAGTCAGAAACAGGAAATCCAGGTTTTTAGAGAGAATTAGATCATTGAGCAGGAAGTACCTATTTTTAACAGAGCGGGTATTTAATAGAGCCATGCTGAGTGAGGTGGAGGAATCAGAAACTACAGAAACAGCTGGAGTTAGTGGACGTAAATTAGCAGGGTTAGATCCAAGGTGTTTATAAAAACCACTTATGGAGGGAACAGGAGGATAAACCACTGAGGAATGAGCACTGTTTCGATAAGCTTCTGCAACATCATAAGATTTATTTCCATCCAGTGTTGCATTAACGTTTCACCAAGATCTTGCATTGATGATGACAGACTCTGACCCCTGCAGAAAGCCTTCTCCAGCACATCCCAAAGAGGTCTGGACTCTGTGGTGGTTAATCAATGTGTGGAAATGCTCCCTGAACCATTCTTTCAATCTCTGGCATTGTCATCTCGAGCCTTGGACCCACTGTGGGGTTTGGGACAGGGCCGGTCATCGTCGGCCTGATGGAAGCTCTTTTATTGCAGTCTGGCCTTGCATGTTGGCCGGTGGGGTTAAACGTACCGCCATGAGTCGTGCACCATTTCATAAATAGGTTGTGCAACTATTCAGTATTTTTGTGCTGCAATATATGTTCTGCAGAGCTAAAGACAAAAAAGAAATGCCTACCAACAGGCTCCACATGAGACTCCAGAAGGGGGTGCTCAGTCCAGGCCTGTCTCAGTTTGCCGGTCTGTGGTTATATATAGCATCCAGTGTGTTGTAGCACCTCTATGTATTTCTTCCATTTTCACCCCGGCTGTTCCTATCGTTAACATTTCTATATTGAGCTTTTAATTTCTTCAGCTTAGCTCGACACGGATTCGATGATTGCTCGAATCCTTCGGCTCCCATCTGCTGAAAAATTTCTTCAAAACGGGATTTCCTTAGCAATCTAAGTAGCTTGCCCTGAGGTTAGACTTTCATGGCGATGGTGAGGAATGTATGGAGCTCTGAAGCTGTCCAAGCCTTGCTGCTACTTGCAGGCATTTCTCACATCCGTGTACAACTAATGAAAATACAAATAGAACTCCGAGGTTGGTTTTGCTTGTGGCAAGTAGTGACATCTATCTGTCCCCCAATCAGAGGATTGTGTTGTCGCTCTGCTTTAACCGTACCGCTCCACAAAGATTTGGACCTACAACAGAAGGAGGCCACAAAAGTGCCGTCAGTGGCATGGACCGGTTTGGCTGTGGACTGGTTTTACAATCGGGATAGAAAAAACTGTGGCCCGACTTGACCCGACCTGCCCCTCCCTGTGCCATCAGGGAGGATTGAATAACCTGGTCATGCCAGTGTATTCAGGTAGTCAGCTGACCTCATTCTTGGAGCACATCCTGTTGCTGAACCTAGACCTGACCAACTGCAGCAAGCCCAGATCATAACACTGCCCCCACAGGCACTAGGCATGATGATGGGTGCATCGCTTCATCTGCCTCTCTTCCTACCCTGATGCACCCATCACTCTGGAACCGGGTAAGTCTGGACTCATCAGACCACATGACCTTCTTCCATTGGTCTAGAGTCAAAACCTTTGTTTCCCTGTTTGCCTCATATTAGGGGTTTACTTACAGCTACACAGCTGTTCAGTCTCAATGCCTTGAGTTCCCTTTACATTTTGCATATGGAAATGCTCTTACTTTCACTGTTGGTTTGCTTTGATTTGATGTCACCTAAGTTTAAGCGATCGCTGATCACAGTCATTCAGGATTTTTTCCCAGCCACATTTTATCCTCAAAGATGATGAGTCCCCATTATCCTTCCAGTTTTTAATAGTGCGTTGGACAGTTCTTAACCCAGTTTTAGTCGTTTATGCTATCTCCTTGATGCATGCCGATGATATGACCCTTCTTCAAGAAACATCTTTTCCACAACCACCAGATGTGTCTTTCCACATGCTTGTTTAAGAAATGAGAAGCAACTCACTGCACCAGTTGGGGTTAATATCTTCTTGCGAGCTTAAAGATAACCACTCATGCAGTAATTATCCAACATGAGGCTCCTACCTACTAGCTTAGTTAAATCCAGGTACTTTTTTGTCCAGGCAGTGTACTCAACCCTAAAAATTTCATCTGTTGCATCAGAATGGCCCCCAGACTGGAACTCTCTCCCCCTGAGCCTGAGATCAGTGGACTCAGTGGTCTCCTTTAAAAAAGCAGCTGAAAACTCACCTGTTCAGGCTTTGGTGTGACCTTCATAACGCTCTACTTGTTCTGCTGTTATTCCGCCTTTCCCGGGTTCCACCTAACCCTAACCCTTCCCTCTTTCCTATTCATTTTCCCTCTCCTTTTCCCTTATATTGTTTAATCACAATTTTTATTTCTTCTCATTTTAAAGATGTTTTTAATCATTTCTGAAATCTTTTTAATATTTAATTTTTTTGTTTTTGTGAAGCGCCTCGTGACTTTTATCTTGAGGCGCTAAATAAAAGATTTTCTTTCTTGTTCTCTTTCTTTCTTGTTTTCTTTCTTTCTTTCTATCTATCTATCTATCTATCTATCTATCTATCTATCATCTATCTATCTATCTATCTATCTATCTATCTATCTATCTATCTATCTATCTATCTATCTATCTATCTATCTATCTATCTATCTATCATCTATCTATCTATCTATCTATCTATCTATCTATCTATCTATCTATCTATCTATCTATCTATCTATCTATCTATCTATCTATCTATCATCTATCTATCTATCTATCTATCTATCTATCATCTATCTATCAATCAATCTATCTATCTATCTATCTATCTATCTATCTATCTATCTATCTATCTATCTATCTATCTATCTATCTATCTATCTATCTATCTATCTATCATCTATCTATCTATCTATCTATCTATCTATCTATCTATCTATCTATCTATCTATCTATCTATCTATCTATCTATCTATCTATCTATCATCTATCTATCTATCTATCTATCTATCTATCTATCTATCTATCTATCTATCTATCTATCATCTATCTATCAATCAATCAATCTATCTATCTATCTATCAATCAATCAATCAATCAATCTATCTATCTATCTATCTATCTATCTATCTATCTATCTATCTATCTATCTATCTATCTATCTATCTATCTATCTATCTATCTATCTATCTATCTATCTATCTATCTATCTATCTATCTATCTATCTCTCTCTCTCTCTCTCTCTCTCTCTCTCTCTATCTATCTATCTATCTATCTATCTATCTATCTATCTATCTATCTATCTATCTATCTCTCTCTCTCTCTCTCTCTCTCTCTCTCTCTCTCTCTATCTTTCTTTCTTTCTTTCTTTCTTTCTTTCTTCTTTCAGAAAGATTGCACTGAAGTATTATTGCAAATAAGAGAGACTACAATGGTGTACTGGCTGTGTGTGTTTGCTAGCCTTCCTGAGTGAGTGTGTGTGTTTGTCTCCAACTATAAGGTCTTTGTTGTAATGTCTGACAGCAGTTGGAAGGAAAGACCTGCGACGTCTCTCCATTCTGCATCATGGGTGCAGCAACACGTCCAGCTGAGATGGTGGCTGCTATTTAAGCCTTGTTCACAAACAGTTTAAAGACGATGAGAAAAACAGGTACATTTGCATCATTATTCACACAAAGATGAACTTACTCAGAATATCAATGTGGCGGTCGTTTACACTGTTAACACACTGACGAACAGACTCGTCACTACAGACGTCTAATGGAAGCAAAGTCATGGTCTTCTCGTACGCGTCTCCAGCTGCCTCCACCAACTTGTCCTTCTTCTTCAGGTCTCGCATAGTGGCAATGACTGTGAACAATGGTAATATATAGAAATTATGGTAAAATAAACTTTCAAATTAAAAATAAAAAAAAAATGAGTTGAGATGCAGTTATTCTGGTGTTGAAGGTCAATGCCAGTTACCGATCCTTGCCCAGACCTGTCAATGTTGATTTGTCTCAAAAAACTAAAAGACACAAATAAAATTTATTTTCTATTTCTGATGACCTTAAAATGTTTGATTCTGGCAGCAAAAACGTGCACATGGAAACTTGGTATTGGCGAGTTCATGGTCCTGAAAAATTAAATTGTTTTGCAACTTGGTAATGTTGTATTCATAGACCAGAAAAACTAATAAAAAGGAAAAAAACAAAGTTCAGATTTTCGAGTTTCAGATTGGCCGATCACTGATGAAGCAGACTGAAGTGAACACAGAGGATATTATATTATCTCCCACTCAGAAAAAAGTTACTCTGTGATTTTAGTAATAATGAATTTGCATGTTTACTTTTTATAAATATCTTTTTAAAAGTTGTTTTCTTTTACATTTTTAAAACCATTGGCGTGTCGTGTATGTGAGTCTGCACCAACATGCCCAAAGAGCTTGCCTGCAGAGAGGAAGCAACATGGTTAGGTCTTAGAGGATTTGGTCCTGGCCCTTGAATGCCTTGTGTAATTTTATAGTCACTGCTTAGTTTTGGCTATAAAATCACTGGGGCGGAGTTGGGTGGAACTCGTGATCTGAGGTAATATCTCAAAGAAGCTCCACGAAGAGATTTATTCAAATGCATTCAGATGACACCTATCTCTGGTTCTTAAAAATGTAATCCAGTTTTTTATATTTTTGATGACTGATTTGTTTCAACACCATTTCTCATTTCATAGGAAATTACTAAAGAAAAAATAGTTTCTGTTGCTATGAACACTATGGATTCATTTAAAAACTGGTAAAATGACTCAAAGAAGTACGCAACTACCAGTGAATCAATCCATCTAATTAAAACACAAGTAGGAATTCACTCACTCACTCACTCACTCACTCACTCACTCACTCACGCACGCACGCACGCACGCACGCACGCACGCACACACACACACACACCTGTATATGCTTCATTTTAGTGACTCCACTATGCCTAACCCTAACCCTAACCAATAGAATTCTGTTCCTAACCCTAACCTAAACGTTCGTTCACACCAGACCTCTAAAACCAATTATTAGGGTGCTTAGTGCTGTGTGGACCAACAAAATGTCCCCACAATGTGGACATGTCCACATGTTACAAGTTAAAAGTCACAATTGGTCCACACACACACACACACACACACACACACACTTTGGAAGAGTGAATCAGTCAGGGTCAAAGTTCCTGGGCAAGGCCACAGAATTGCTTCCCTCTGAACTTTAAACACCAGGGAACATTAACCTACATCCAACACAGAAATCTATCACCGCCAGCAGCTATCTGCTCAGTTTTACCCCGCTTTATTGGCTTCCTCCACGTTGTGTGTTTTGCTTATTTTGCTGTTGTTACCTAACAGACCAAAGCAAGGCAGCGTTGTTGCACAAAATGTCATTAAGGAGTAAACAATCTGTTAATCTCACACTCATCTAAACCTACCCGTTGTGCTTGGTGGAGAAATGCAGAGTCCCACCTGATTCTTGTGAGAATTCAGACAAGGTTGACGCACTTCAAAGCTAGAACTGTTAAGCCTTACTTGTCTTCACAAACTGTGTATTAATGACACCTTGTGTATTCTAGTTAGAGCTATTATTTTAATTTGAGAAAGTAACAGAAAGATTTAGACGTAGTCAAGGACACAAACAAGGGACCTATTGTTCCTCTGGCTCCTGAAGGAAACAGCCCTGAGCCGCTCAGACATTCTTGAATGAACCACATTTCAGTGGAAACAAAGGGGCATTTGGGAGCTTTCGTCGAGCTTTGAACATGTCACTGCAACTAATTGTTACTCGGAGCACAACATAATATCTAATCTCAGTTGGATTTCCTAATGAACAGCAGATCAGCTTCATTTCTCAGATGTGGTCTTATTGAAAGGAGCTCACAGCGAGGAACAAAATCTGCACAGCTTGCACTGGGAGGGAGGGAGCAGCTAACCGCTTTTGTTTTGCTCTTTTATTTCACTGTAATAAACTTCATCAGATCCCCGTGGCCCAAAGAGAGAAAAAGAAATCAAATATTGCACAATTGTTCCCAAAGAGGTTACAATTTCACTCATCTGTGACTTTATTTACAGGGTTCGTGTGATGACAGGGGCAATTAATGCTTTCACCGCTACCACTAAAGCCTCCATCCAATTATACAGTCCTGTGTTGAGTTACAGCCCCAGCTCCATAGAGGTGGAGAAAAGCTCCCACCAACAGGGGTGGGGTTGGTAAGGTGGTCTCACACAGAGCAAAGCAAGAAGATTTGGCATTCAATTCAGATTTCCGAACTGACAATAATGATGTCTGGGAAGCAGGGAGGAAACAGTCCAACAATGTCAACGCAGAGCACCACAGCTCCCCGGTGTACCAATGAAGACTTCAAACAAGGCTCTTGCTTTAGAGTGAACCCTTGCTTGTACAGGTCTCAAACTTTGTCCCCCTTTTCACACTCGCTCCACTGAGGGGACCATAGGCACATTAGACACGGCACTAAAGTGGAGCAGGCCCTCTACAATTCACAGCAATAAAAGGGGGCTTTGTGCAGGAGAAGTCACTTGAAAGAGAACTGACAAGACTCCTTTACTGGCTGGCAAGCGGCATCCTTGCAGAGCCCTACCCTGGAAGGTGGTTTTCAGATGACAATGGAAGAACCAAGGGGGCGACTCAGCCTCAGTCCTGACAAAAGTAACGCCATTCCCATAAGTTGGTTAGCTGTGAGAGTGGAGTTCACATGGGATCACGTATGAGGCAAGAGTCCAACTTTGTGGGGGTGCGACAACAGAGTGTTGCAGGAGAAGTAAACATGAGCAGCAGAAACACTCAGTAACAGACTCGCTACTGAAAGGGTCCCATCAAGGAAACAGTGTTGAATAAAGCACATTTTACCATGGTAACGCTTCTTTTCATCTTTGGCCAGCGTGACGGCAATTCGTAACCCGATGCCGGAGGAGCAGCCGGTGATCAGCACAACTTTCTGCCCGCTGCTCGCCATGGTCTGTCCGGGTAAAGCGCTGCGGTATTCAGCGGTCCTCTGCTACGGATGGTCGCTGCGCTGCGGAGGAAGCTACCGATCACCGGACTTTAAAAAAACACAACCACGGAACTAAAGCGGATCATGAAGCCACTGCAGCCATGTGAGCGCCCAGTTCGGTCACATGTTCATGCGGATTAAAAAAGCCCTGACATAGCACCTCCTGAGTAGTTTCAATGCTGCTTAGGTGTCGCCCGCTCACAGAGATGAAGTCTGCATAATTCTTTAAGAAAGAGAGGACGTGCACGCGCCGACGTGCGTAGCACTGAGGGGGCAGAGCCTGTTTGATTTCTGAGCTGTTGAACACACACACACACACACACACACACACACACACACACACACACACACACACACACACACACACACACACACACACACACACACACACACACACACACACACACACAGAAGGAGATTTTGATGTATTTAATTTAAATGTAAAACTCGTTATAATAATGATAACAACAACAACAACAATAATAATAATAATAATAATAATAATAATAATAATAATAATAATTTTCTGACATGATTTACATTGGCCTTTATCCTGAGTGAACACAGTTTAAAAACAAATGTTTTGCTACTAATGTGTTATTTTCAGCAGCAACACTAGAGCAGAGACTTGGGTCAAATTAGAACTTTCACAGCTGAGTTTTAACCCCTCTCTGTCTCGAGGGGCAGTTCTAAAACTTTACTTTAGTTTGTTGAGATATACTACCACCTTGTGTTAGGATAGGGAATTACATAGTTATGTTGCACAACTTACTGACAAATGCACTTTGTTCTCTGATGCTTTAAGGGGTCAAAGGTGGCAGAGATAAGATCTTAGATAAGACGCAGTTTCTTCTTCTATAATTAAATCCTGCAGTACAAGAGTCTGTCTTGTTTAGGCCTGTAGCTAATTATGATGCAACTCCCTGCAAATGACACCATGCTGCTTTCTTTGGGAGAAAGTTTATGCCTAACGTTTTGATCTCTCATCATGAGTTTTTGTAACCCAGAAGAGTAAAAGAGGTGGTCTAAGAAACATTAATCAAGATTTCTTTACAAGCAAACTTGTAAACTCATTAGGTCTGTCACTCATGGTGAGGTGAGATGATCAAAAATGTGGAACTGGAGGGATGACAGCTGACAATCTCCAGCTCTTATGAAGATCAGCAGGGACTGCAGCTCAAGCTGACAAAAGGAAACATTAGAATCCGACAATAAGGCAGAGAAATTGATGTGCTTGTTCCTATTTGAAATGTAGGATTTTTTCAGATCAGTTGCTTTTTAGTTTATTGTTTTATGAAAAGTTAAGACTTTTGAGAAATCTAAACATTTGCATTCCTCTTCAGTCTTTCTATTTCCCGCCCTTATAAAATGACTAAATTCTACTAGTTAGTTTAATTTGAACAGATTAAAATCATGCTCAACTTCAAGGGGAGCTGTGAGCATTTCGTCTCTCATTCTTACGCCTTTTACATGACTGCTTTTTGTTGATATCAGAGATGTAGGCTTGTTTGTGAATACCTTTTATATAAACAGTTGTGTCCTTGGGCAAGACACTTAACCCGCCTGGTGGTCAGAGTTCAGCAGGCCTCGCCTCTGTCAGTGCATCCCAGGGCAGCTGCGGCTACATCTGAGCTCATCCCCACTAGCGTGTGCGTGTGTGTGTGTGTGTGTGTGTGTGTGTGTGTGTGTGTGTGAATGGGTGAATGACTGATTGTGTTGTGAAGCGCCTTGGGGGATTGTAGAACCCTAAGAAAGTTCTATACAAAAAGAGGACATTTATCATTTTTGTTTACTACTTTGAAATTCTATATAAACATTTTTTTAACTTTACCGATATATCCATGGCCTTGTTTATTAAAGGTAGAATATGGAATGTGGGCACCAGAGAGACATCTAGTATGTGGAGGTTGTAGTTGAAACAATGGAACAAGGTTTCTAGCTGTTGGGATACCAGGTTCGGTGTCGACACACAAGTAAGTACATTTTATTCATATAGCACTCATCACAGACAGAGAATCACAAAGTGCTTCACACAGGTCAAAACAAAATAAAACATAAAGTCATAAAAGCATACTGCTCTTAAAACAGAAATGATTAAAATCAGAAAAATTAAGTCATAAAATTATAACATATTATAAAACAAATGAAAGATGATTACAAACTTGAGTTAAAAATAAGAAAAGAAAAAATTTATGTAAATAAAATATAAGGCTAATGGAAGATCCTTCCAAAGTCAAGGTGCAACAGTCTGGAAGGAGCAATCACCTCGACTTTTGTATCTGGTCTTTGGAACTTCTAGAAGGTTCTGGTGCGTGGACCTGAGGGCTCGGGTTGGAGCATGAGGCTTTAACAATTCAGTAACATAGGGAGGAGCTTGACCATTGTAGAGCCCTGAAAGTTCAGGGCAGATCTCACGAGTCATGTGCTCACACTCTTCGACCCAGTTCTTGGATGCGACCTGACTGCTCACACTGTACGTCTGGTAGCAACACGTCGGACCTAAAAATATACTAAAAATAGCAGTTTTTACTCAACACGTCAGACTTTTTTTTTTGTCTTGCCTGTTGTCCTTCGGGAGTGCTGCAGGAGGACACACAGGGATTTATGGGGGTTGGATGAGGAAAACGAAATAAAGAAAGTAAATCTGTGTTTTGTGATCAGTTTAATTTGACATGAACACGACAAACACGCTTTCTTTACAATCTTTGTGAGTAAAAAAAACGTGTAGAAATAAAAACGAACAACGTGTGTTATTAGGGAAATTGCGGGTGAGCGGTGTTGATGCACGATTGCGCCGTGACCGGTTCTGATACTTTTTGGGTCGCAGCTGCTCGCAGCGCCGCTTCAACAGTGCGATACCCTCACGAGGGACGAGCAAAATATCAAACACGCCAGAAGTCCGTGTGAGCTCACGATTGCTGATCGGTAGCTGGTCACGTGGTGTTAATCGCCTCTCGTAACCCCCTGTATACTACACAACGCTCAGCGCTAAACTCGCCCCGACCTTGTGGATTCTCGCACGTGTGGAAAATCGGGTCAAAAAAGTGAAAAAAGTGGCACAGTGTATGCCCGGCTTAAGTCTCTGTGCAATGCCATATTGGATGCCGTGTTTCCTTCTACGGAAGTCTGTGAGGACAAAATACATTTACAGATTTGTAGCAAATGGTTACAGAACTTTCACAATTAATAAGCATTGTTGCTTTACACATTTTCCTCCGTACATTGCCAGTGATGAAAATAAATCTGCTGTTCTTGTTATTTTGCTGGAGGTTGCACTCCCAGGGATTTTTTACCCTAATGGCCGTCTGTTAGAAAAATCTTATTTGAAAACAAAAATAATGCTTGCTTGCAGTGATTTAGGTATGCACTGCCCCCTAACGCCAGGTAAACTATACACTGTCACTTTAAAGGAACAGTACAGCTGAATGTCATCTGGATTTAGGTGGTAAGAGACATTATGAAAAGAATCAATTATCTGTCCAAGAGGGTGTATGTACAGTAGAAACAAGAGTGGACCCAAAGCAGAGCCTTGGGGTATCCCACAAAACAGATCGGTAGAATCTGACATGATTTGGTTTATACAGACACTGTAACTTCTGTTAGAAAGGTACGATCTAAACCAGCCTAGGACAATTCCAGAGATCCCCGAGTCACCAAGTCTGTTAATTAAGGTACTGTGATCAACAGTGTCAAAAGCTGCAGAACGATCTAACAATACTAACACTGTGAACTCCCCATTGTCTGCAGCCATCATGATGTCACTGGAAACTTTAAGCAAAGCTGTTTCTGTTGAACGCTTTTTACGAAAACCAGATTGAAATTTGTCAAAACTGTTGTGTAGTCACAGAAAAGTAATCAGTTGATCTGCCAGAACTTTTTACAGTATTTTGGTGATAAAGCGTAATTTAGAAATGGGTTTGTAATTTTGTAATTTTTTTATTTTTATTTTTTTATTTGGGTCCATCTGTTCTAGGCTTCACCCAAACTCACTCTGGTTTTAGATGTATTATGGTCACTTCTCTTCTGAGAACGATAACATCTTCTGGGCTCAGAAGCAGCTGCTTGAATCGCCAAGTCTGCCATTTTCCACAGTGCCAGCTTTGCTGTGCCAAGTAGATTGTTTGGTAACCCATATCGATAAGATATCTTATCTTATCTTATCTTATCTCATCTCATCTCATCTCATCTCATCTCATCTCATCTCATCTCATCTCATCTCATCTCATCTCACCTCACCTCACCTCACCTCACCTCACCTCACCTCATCTCATCTCATCTCATCTCATCTCATCTCATCTCATCTCATCTCACCTCACCTCACCTCACCTCACCTCACCTCACCTCACCTCACCTCACCTCACCTCATCTCATCTCATCTTATATGACCTATTTCCTTCCTTCAAAAACTCAAAAGTCAAAAAATAAATTTTCATCTTGAACCCCCCCCCCCCAAGATTTTAATTTAAATTGAGAGCCTGCAAAACAACAAGCATCATATCAACATTTTAGTTAATTGATTTTTTTTTACAGCTTGACAACATTTTTAATAACTGTCTAAAAACTGGTCTCATTGTTTGTGAAGACTAACTTTAACCACGAATGTTAACAACACAACAGTCCTTCAGCTGGTAGGAGGTTTGGTTTTATGTTTGAAACCTAAAGTCTGCTTAAGTGAAGGCACCATGCTTCCAGGGAAATGATTGAATCAGTGGACATTCCACAGAACGTTCCGTCTGTGCCTCTGGATGAATGGGACAGGTGTGACTGGAAACATAGTAGGACTGGACAACCATTTGTCCACCCTCAAGCTATTATTGAGGAATTTCAGAAGTTTGAGACACCGCAAACATTAAGAGACAAAGAAGAGGTACTTCTACAAGTCCACTCATGCTTTTCCATGCCATGTCCTCTGTGCCCTGCTTTGTCTTTTTGTAAACCTTCCTCAAACTCTGTCTCCTTCACATTCTCTAACGGACGTCTGTGATAATAAAACGTATGTAGGATTTCCTTGTCTCTACTCAAAAAGGTTTCACCTCTCTCTGACACCTCCAAACAAACTCCAGCTGTGCCTCAGACCCAAATAACATCTAACTTTATTAGCAAGACCAAGTCACGAACAGTGACACTCCCGCCCTCTAAAATCTGCCTTTTCATAACTTTCCAGTCAATTTCCTGTCTTGTAATTATTAAAATATATGAACAGACGCACTCGGATCTTTCATAGCTTTTCCAGCTGACTTTATGA